AATTGAAAAGAAATAAATAAAGGTGGGTGGAAAAAGCAAGTTAAACTCAAAGTAAAAAAGAAGATAAACATAATAGCAGAATCCTCTTGAGAGCTTCTCCAGAGGCTGAGGTCTGAGGATCAAGGTTGGAAGCCAGCCTGGACGGAAAAAGCCAAACCTCTTATCTCATTAATCAGCAAAAAGCTGGAATTGGAGCTATGGCTCAAGTGGTAGAGTGTCAGTAAAGAGAGAGCTTGAGATCCTTAGTTCAAGCCCCAGTACTGAAACTAAAGTATCCTAAGGGCACACTTTGGACAACTTTATGATATTAAATTTGAACATTTTTACCAAGGGAACAAATTCTTTTTAAAATTCGATTGAGAATACAAAAACTATTTGAAACAAAGGACTTGGTGCTATAAATTATTTTAAAGACTATATTTGGCCTTATCAATTCTCTTATTTTTATATTAATTTTTATTTCACTAATTTCTGCTTTTATCTTCTTGTTTCTGTTTAACTTGCTGCTTTGTTCCTAATTTCTTGAAATAGAGAATACATATCTTTATGGACTCTAAACTCATTAATTTCCAGCCTTTTCTTCTTAAGTAAAGTCTATAATTAAATTTTCCCCAAAAGAAAACTCTAGGCCTAGAGAGCACAGCTGGAGAAATCTAACACTTAAGAAAGAAATGATGCCAGCCATCAACAAACACTTCTAGGAACAGGAAAAGAAGTCACACTTTCTGATTCACTGATGAGGACAAAACTTGCCAAGAGCAGTTAAAAGGATGGGGGGATTATTACATAGTGATCATAGTCATGATCACAGATGGAAAAATCTAAAGAAAACATTAACAAATTAAATCCTGAAATAGACATTATAGATACCTTACAGACATCATTAGGTAGGATAAGATATTTGCAACATAGACAAACAAAGATTTAAATGGAAGGATTTTCTACAGGTAAGTAATATTTTGATAGAAAAACGTATTAAAAGGTCATCTTATGCTTTAACAATTCAATATTTGTACTTGCTTCCAAAGTAATCTATGATCTTAGCAGACTTTTACTTATAATAGTTTTCATGTGTCTTTACAGGAATCCAGTTGGTGGAAGAATTCATTTGGTGATGGCCATTACAATTGCTCTTCTCCCATTGATTTCATGGGTCTACATATACATAAACAAAGAGATGAGGGCCTCTTGGCCAACTCATTGCAAGACAGTCATTTAAAGAAACTCAAGGATTGTATTTTTTGAATTGGTACTTTCAATTCTTTTTTTAATATACATATCAGGGTAACAGGACAGTTTTTCAGATCAAGAAATTTAGCTAATTGTAGGGTTGATTTAAAGATCTTACAAACTTTTGTGGAATGGAGCTGATAAAGTACCTGTCTAGCAAACCCCAATGCTACCACAAAAGCAAAAACAAAAAATAAATATTTAAAGCTGTCTACCCTGCAATGTAAGATTGAATGAGACAAATAAGAGAAGTGGAGTCTATCAATCTCTGGAAGCCTTTTTTCTGAAGAATATTGTGCCTGTAGTGTAGTGGCAAAGCTAATGGAGTTGTAATTCACTTTACCACTGCCCATGTTGGTTGGGCAAATATATAAACCTCCTAGTATTTCCTTATCTATAACATTAGTGTCAGATTGCCTACATACTTAGTTACTACAACCAAAGGCACTTAGAATATATCAAGTGCTTGTAGAGTACAAAGGACCACATGTCGTTAAAATCAAGGGACTAGCGTTTGGGCACTATTTTGCAGCTGATGTAGAGTCAGAAAGGACTATGTCACTGAACTAATCTCATTATACTGAATGGGTGAGTACATGACTAGATGAAAACTCAAAAGAAACCAAAGGAATAGTCATGACTTGAAAAAGTTGGATGGAGAAAAGGAATTTGGAACCAATTAAGAAAGAAATAGAGAATATTGGTTACTCATATATTCTATTCTAAATGATAAATAATGCCAAAAGCCATGTTTATAAATGGATGTCCAAAGTGACCTTAGGAAGGAGAGCATTTTAGGGCTATACTCTCCATTATGGCACCACTATCTACTGAGTTAAATTGCTATTGAGCACTTGAAATGCAGCAAGGGTGATTGAGAAGTAATTTTTAAGTGTGTATATCTGTGTGTGCACGCATGCACCAGTTCTGGGGCTTGAATTCAAAGCCTTGTGCTCTAGCTAGCTTATTGCTAATGGCTGAGCCATGCTTGCAGTCTGGCATTTTGCTGGTTAATTGGAAATCTTCCACAATTGGCTTTGAACTTCAGTTCTCCACATTTCATTCCCTTGAATAGCTAAGAGTATATGCAAGAGCCACTGGCACTGGGCATTCTTAAAAGTTTTTCATTCTAATTTAAAAATTGATTTTTCAATCCTTAGAAAACATTTTAAGTATGCTAGGAACAACATGGGTACATGAATCTTTTTCAGATGCAAATTTGGAGATCTAAATTCATATTAAATTTTTACAATAACAAATTAAGTGTCCAAATGGATGGGCTATGAGTGTAAAACACACAGTAGGTTTTTTAAATGTTATACAAATAGTAAAATATTTTTATATTAATTACGTAGTGAAATGCCAATATTTTGATATGTTGGGTTAAATAAATGATTAAAATTAAGTTTGTTGCTATTTACTTCTTTTTTTTCATTAAGTTATAGAAATTTATTTTAAATAACCTACAGTTGTTTAAAAGGGAATTCATGATAAAAATAGAAGATACTTGAGGAAAGATGTGGGAAATGGACTATGCACACACACTAACAATGTCTCTAAAATTAATGATTATAGCAAAAAATGTCTTCATATTAAAACTCTTTTTATTTCTTTCTCCATTTTTATACAATTACAAAAGAAAAAAATAAAAGCCCTAAAATCTTGATTATTCTTATTTTTTTGAGGGGACCAAATACTCATTTTCCTCTAAACTTACTGACCTGTAGAACTTTTTATACAATAAAAGTTCTCACATGCATGTCTGGTTTTTAAAAAGAAAAAGATGGATATCTTAAAGGGTACAGAGAATACTCAGAACAAAGGATGATGGGAAAATTATTTCAGCACTGATTATTTCATTATCTTTAGACTCACTCGCCCTTCATCCCTCCCAACCCCAATCTGCACCATCTTTAAGATCAAGAAAAAGGCTTAAATATTTTAAAATAATTAAAAAGAAATAAAAATTCACATTTAAAAAGGAACACACTCAAGTCAGGAAATACTTTCCCATCATGCTTTTCTGTGAACAGGTGTCTGAACCAAAACACTGCCGTGTCATAACTGCTTCAAGTTTAATGAAAACTAGTTCCCATGATAATAGAGTGACAACTCTTAACAGGTGCACTGGGTTTTTGTTCTACTTGATTTTAAATTGTTTACTTCTTAAAATATGACTGCTAGAATGTTTAAAATTTTTAATGTGGTTCACATATTTCAGATGGGTATCTGAATGGTAACTTTTCTACATATGCTATAATCAAGCCAACTCTGGTCAGATACCATTTCATCAGAATTAGGAAATTCTGAAGCATTGAGTTAGTGCCTACCATAGATCAAGAGAATGAAGATGAGTGATAATCTGTCTCTTTATAGTTCAATAAAACAGTAAGTAGTGTATGTTTATTACAGAAGGTATGTATTATTTTGTCTTTGTGACAGTGGCTTCTGAAGTCAACTTATCAGGGAAATGGCATGTACTTTTTGTATGTATATGCCATTACTCAAGGCTCTTCATGATATGGTCCTACTCTATCCTTTTCTGCCAGGCCCCAAGACCCTTCTAGTGGACATTCATAACACTGCTAGTCATTCCTAAATTTAGCTGGTCTTTGGTGCTCTTGTTATTCAACATGAAATGCTTTTCTCCATTTACTCCATTTTCTTATCATCTCCAGTCCCCTCAAACATAATGTGTTCCTCCCACATTTTTGTATGGCATTCAGTTTCACACATTTGTATCTGTGCATGTCTCTCCCTTATGGAAAGTTCTATGAGTATAGAAGGACATTAGTCATCTCTGTGGCTAGCTGAGTACCAGTGTTCAAAAACATGTAGGTCATAATCCTTGGAAACCGATACCTTATGCTGCAAAATAGGAGTTTTCAGATTTGATGAGGGCAAAAATACCAAAAAAAAAAGCCTGGAAAGAGCAAGAAAATGGACTCTGCCTCAAGCTTCCTGAAGGAATATAGCCATGCCAATAGCTCAGTTTTTTAGCTCACTGGTTTCAGACTTACCACCCTTAGAACTATCAAAGAACAAATTCATGTTGTAAGCCACCAAGTAGTGCATACTGGTTCCCAACAGGCACATTCACATTGACTGGTATTTTTTCATTTTTTTTTAGGCTCAAATCAAATTTTCTCTACACTTAAACAGTCTCCATTTGCCATGGGTTGTTTCTGAAGGTAACTCAGCACATATACCAACTGAGTTAAACATGCCCCATAGTTATAAAAGTTATCAAGGACAAATTCATTTACCTATCATGGTGTCACACGGGAGGTAAATAAATCTAGCTAACGGCACAAGACTGCAGTGGCGCCTCATTTGGAATCATGGGATTGGATGACCTGACAGATATAGGGGTACCACACTCAGAAGTTACTTCACAGTAACTTTTCTCACACACACAAAAAAGAATACAGTCTATAAAGTTCTATTATAGATATTTGGAGCAAAAGTATCCCAAATTCATTCACACTGCATTGTGAACAGAAAAAGTTTGCCTGAGCTTTTTTTTTATATCATGAATTTTAAATTATAGAGTTCACATGAACATGTTTCAAGTAATGCCAAATAAAATCCCTTATCAGACTCACTGGAGTCTTCCCCCTTCCCCCCCCCCCCCCCCCCCCCGCCGGCTTATTCTGTTTCTAACTTTCAGTGTGGGATATACTACTTAAAAGTGACATTTCTGCATGTTTTATCTTCACTAACACATACTGAAGTCATAAATGCATTTGGTCATGCAGACAGAATCCTAATGGGATTGAGAATTTTTATTTCCATTTTCCTTTTGGTGTGGTAGGGATAAACACGTATTAAAGTCATTGTTTTCACAAAGTCAAACAAGATAGATCAGACTATGAATGGGAAGCTTTTTCCTTCTTGTAATTCATAATTCTGTCTGGAATTCTGCCTCTTCCTTTTAGCATCATTTTGTCAGGATAGACGTGAACTGTGCCAAATGCCTGGCTGTCTGGAGCTGTTTCAATAACTCCTTCCAGGTTAACGTGGTGCACACCAAAAGGATCCTCTGAGTAGCCACCATCATGCGTGTGGCCAGCAAAGAAACACACCACACACTTGTGAGCCCAAATGATCGCCAGAGCATCTGTATAGTTCCAGGCTAGGCACACACTGTCGGAAGCCTCTGGGTAAATGGGGAGATGGCCTGGTAAAAATAAGAAGTTAGGAACCAATTAAGAAAAATTTTTTTCATCAAGATAAATGGTTAAATGCTAGTACTGAGGGAAAATAAACACAATAACAATGCTTATTGTTCATGTAAATGGACTTTGTTCATGTAAATGGACTAAGACCAAGAGAACCCATATACACACGAAAAACTAGTCTAACAGATGGTACATGACACACACCTAACACTTGGGAAGACTGGGGCCAGAGGATCATGAGTGGGATACCAGCCAAGACTATATAGTGAGGATAACTACAAAATGAAAAAGCTCAGGGAGCGTGCCTGGGCCCCAAGTTCAAAACCCATAACTGAAAAAAAAGAAGTTGAAACAAATCATAAGCAAGTTGGGAGAGGCTTCTGTATAGAAAAACCTCTGAGATTCTGAGGCCTACAGGCCAGAGTTACACAAACACGAGGAATGCAAGGGCAGCTTACACAGTACAGTCTGCAAAGGCAGCAAAAATTCAGACAAATAATGTGCTGCAATCCAATCTCATTGATTTCCTGGATTATGAATGTTACATACACAGAGAGATGTAATACTAAATAAAAGATCAGTTTAGGGACTGGCCATGGATTATGTGTCATATAAACACTCAGTGCAGTAGAGCTGAAACAGTTTTTTATAGAGTCTTCAAATACTCCCCTGAGATCAAGATAGCCATTATCTATTTACAGATGAGAAAACTAACCGATGCAGCCAACATTTATACTGGACCACACAGAAGACACGTGGAGGTGGATCTTGGAGAATTTAAGTCTGATTTTTTTTTTTTAATTTTTGTAGGTCGTGGGGCCTGAACTCTGGGCCTGGGCGCTGTCTCTCAGCAATTCAGCTCAAGACTAGTACTCTACCATTTGAACCACAGCACCACTTCCGGCTTTTTCTGCTTATGTGGTACTGAGGAATTGAACCCAGGGCCTCATGCATGCAAGGCAAGCACTTTACCACTGAGCTACCTTCCCAGCCCCGATCTTGGAGAATTTAAAATCACTAGTGCCAACACATCTGTGAATCTAGACCAGGTAACATGTTTACTTCCATCTCTGCTTCTTCCCAATACATCACTTTAATTCTTTCTGTTAGTGTTTGTTTTTATTCTGAAATTAAACATGTTTCTACTTAATATTTCCTTGTTTATAATGTAAACAGGGGGCAAGGGTTAACAGACATCTAGTGCCCTGAGGAAGATGGCCTTTTAGACACAAGGCACAGACACATTGGCTGTGTAGAAGCCATATTGACTCAGACATAAAATGAGGCAATTCGTTGCCCCCTTTCCTTGGAAGTGGTTGGCTTTCAGGACATCACTACTTTTCCTAGAAATTTCTTCCTAGTTTTCCTCTTCCAACTCAATGGCCACTAGTTTTCAATATCCTCTACTGGTCTCTCCTCAGTTCCCCAACATTCTGTCAGGAGTACCTGAAATGCTTGGTCCTTGGACTTCTCTATTGCACACAATGACTTAGTGATATCTCCGTGATTTACATAGATCTAAATATTATCTTATCTTTTTAGTGCCTATATTTATATATCTAGCTTAAATTTCTTTACTCTGAGTTTTAGATTCATGTTTGAACTGCCCACCCAACATCTCCATTAGTGTACAATAGCACATGACCTCAAATAGACATTTGAACTTACGCTTGCTTATCTAGTTTCTAAATTTACAGCAAATGGTAAACAAATATAAGGGGGTACTGATGCAGATAGATACACTCCCATCAACAAAGAGGGACTGGATGACAGAAAAGAAAGAGAAGGAGGCTATAAAACATGAACAGTCTGGCAGTTCTGTTGGCAGCTGTATGAGTAGCTACATATTTCAATTTCTTTAGAATTCAGTTTATCTTTATGTAAAATTAAATGATTTGGCTAGATGATTCCTAGGTCCTTTTCAACAACAATACTCTTAGCTTACCAGAAAAACTAAAAGCAGACCTTAGTCAACTAGTACACCAGCTTTTTGTTGAGCTAAATAGTATCAAATCTTACCAGAACCCAAGGGCATCTTATCTTTTCCAAGCCTTGATGCTTCACAGTCAAATATTCCTACTCCATTTATATTTCTGCCATGTCAGTAGAAGACTAATATGTAAAATCTACCTTTGTTGATAAATGTAATTTTGTATGACCAACCAGCTGAGTAGCCTATTGTTTTCAAAGGGTTTTCATATTCATAATCCATCTGATGCAATGCTAAGAAAACTGTAGCTCATAGGTTTAATAAGTATTCAGGGCCACACAGTTTGATAAGTAAGAGTCTGAATGGATATTAATGCAGTCTTTTCATCTGATTTTAAAATAAGAGATGCAATGTCAGTCCCCAAACCAGCCACACTGCAAATCCAAATGATTTTTCATGTTTCATGTTTTAAGCACTTCCAGATTTCTATAATCTCCTATGGCAGTGTGTCTATAAAAAAAATAACTCAGAAGCTGGGCACTGGTGGCTCAGGCCTGTAATCCTAACCACTCGGAAGGCTGAGATCTGAGGATCAAGGTTCAAAGCCAGCCCAGGAAGGAAAGTCCAAGAGACTCTTATCTCCGATAAACCACTCAGAAAACTGGAAATGGTGCTGTGGCTCAAGTTGCAGAGCTGAATTGCTGAGGGACAGGGCCCAGGCCCAGAATTCGAGCCCCACGATCAACCAAAAAAAAAAAGGACTCAGATCTAAATTCCTTGGGACCCTGCTGTTGATAAGTACTCACAGTGATCTGAGGCACACTCATCCCATGTTATCTCAGCTTTGTCTCAGCTGGAGAGCATGGCCTGTTTGGTGGCTACTTCCCTTATAAGCTAAGCTTCCTAACACTGGAGTTGACATGGAGCCTAAACTGAATTTCTCAGTTAAAGATTACGACATAAAATGTCTGTTCTAATCAGTTTAATGTCCGATATACCTTTTATTTAAGAACAGTATATTAAATGGATTTTTGGAGCAAAGAGTTGGAATAGGAGCTTGGATACCACACATGAGCCTGGTATTGCAGTAGGTCCAGGAATGGTGTGGTGCAACCCCTCCAATAAAAAGGAAAAACTTAAAACTACATAAAGAAGTGGATGTGTTTGGTAGAGCATTTTCCTTGAATGAAAATGCTAAATGAGAGCTCAAGGCCCTGAGTCTAAGCCCCATTTTGGTACACACATAATTACTATATAAGCTGATCCCATTGAGAGAAACTCAATTTTGAAGCCTACAGGAGTTACAAGTGCTAATATATAGATAATTCTGTTATTTTACAATTCTTTTCCGACTCATCCTTAAATGTTACTCTTAGATTTTGGTTATATTTTAATGAAAATTTTAAACTAAACATCCATTCTATAGAAAGAGAATATCAAGCATTAATATCATTAATAGCCAACATTTCTCAATCTCTAAAATGCTAGTGTAACCAGATAAACAATTTCAATACTTACTCACAATCACCACCTTTTCTTGGTTTGTGTCAGAGAATGTAAGAACTTCATTCAACCAGCAGAGCTGTTCTTGGCTGAATCCTCCATTATACTGGACAAACTGGGGCTCAGAAAGTCCTAAATGAATTCAGTAGATCAGACTGAATCTGACATCCATTGTCATTTTCCTCATTTGGGCATTCAAGATTAGCTAATACAAGACACTTGTTCTTTTGAGGGACTATTTAATTAGCAGTGAAAAAAATACCAAGTCATAAGAATTTAGGGCAGTATACAAACAAATCACATGGTATCTTTTTAGTCTTGATATTCTCTGGCTTACTCAGCTGGCCCTATATTTTGAAAAGGAAATATGACCTCCTTATTTTGTCCATTGAACCCACAACATATTCTTGTACTTTTCTGTCCTCCAAAATCATCTTCTACCTCCCTGATTCCTGTGTTTAATACCAGTGTTCTATCTACTTAGTCCTTTGCATTTGTTTCTCCTGTGTATAACTCCTTCCTGTCAGCTGGACATCAGTTTAAATATTTCTTTCCTGGGAGAGGCTTTCTCTGATCACTTAATCTAAGGTAGTATCCATTATGCTTTTTCTGTACTAAAATACTCTATTTTCTTACTAACACTTGTCAATGTGGAAATAATCTGGTTTTGGTTCCATTGATTTGCTGCAGTTTGAATGTGAAATGTTCCTCAAAGTTCTTTGTGTTAAAGGAAGGCTTGATCACCAACTCAGCAAGTTGAGCTGTAGTAGCTCATAATGCAAAAATAAGATTGTAGAACCTTGAAGACATAGAGGGTCTATTGGGAAATTAGATTATTGAGACTGTGCTCTCAAAGGAGATAAAAGGGCCCCAGATCTTCCTTTCTGTTTGTGTTCCAAGCTGCCATGAGACAGGCAGCTTCTCTAATACAGGCTCCAAGTGTCAATGTACTGCATCATAAGGTCAAGGGGCCATGGACTGACAACTATGATCCAAAATAAACTTCCTCCTTGTAAATTACTTACGTAAGATATTTTGTCAGTGTTAGAAAACTAATTAACATATTTATTATCTCTTCTACCTACTACTATGATTCATTCCTTTTATTAAAAAATAGTAATACTGTAAAGTGCTCATCCTGGAATGGGCATTCAAATATCTGTTCAATAAATGAAACCCAAATCAACTAATGAGTCCTTGTGACATCAGGCTCATGAAAAATCCTGACCTTCAACAACAGTGACAATATACTTTTACCTGAATCATCCATGTTCCTGCTGAATAAAAGGTAGCTGAAGAATTTAAAGACAATGTATTAGATTCTCAGCGCAAAGGAATAATTCACCTTGAGGACTATTCAACTCCTCATTGGGATTGTGCTCCCTCAGTATCTTCATACCCTGCTGGTATTTTGGAGAGGATGGATCGATGCCCAAGACACTCAAGTCATAAGCATCGAGTAAAATGAACCGGAATTTGGGGAATGGTACAAAATGATAAGCGTAATAATCCTCTGAAGGGATGGTCTCAGGATGATGTACAATCTGGTCTTCTAGGAACTTTGTGTTAAGTTTAGAGTTTGTTAAGTAGTCTCTACTGAAGTTATAGAATTCATGGTTCCCCCATGTGTGATGAACTGGGACTTTGAGCACTTTGAACGTGTTCATGACAAGTTCCAGAGACTTTTCTGATGCTTTATACTTTGCATTATAGCCATCGATGATATCTCCAAGCTGGAGGACACAGCAGAGTGTCTTGCTTTCTTTATTCCAGTCTTCAATGGCACCCTGTAAGTGAAGAAGACTATGTCTATAATACCTCCGCCTGCTTCTATGGAAATTGTATCCATCTTCTAAATCCGCATACTGGATATCTGCTATAACTCCAAAGGAGAAGAGTTGTTCTGAACCATCAGTTGGCATTTGGGGATTCTGCTCATCAGCCATAACTTCAAAACACGCTTCTAAATAAAATAAAGGAAGTGAAAGATATAATTAAGTTAAAAGCATCTAATTTAACTAATTGGATTCAAGAAAATGATAAAGTGAATATTAAACAATAAACTCATTGGGCAGCCGGACACAGAAAAGAGGATATAGGCTTTAGAATTCTGAAACACGAAGCCTCTGAAATGCTTCAGTTTTCTCATCTGTAAAAAGATGTTAACTTCTATTCTTCAGAAGGGCACCATTTGCAGAAGGGCAGTATCATAATAATGAACATTCTAATTCTAGTAAAGCCAAATTCAAGTCTGAAATAATTTCTTTCTTTTTTTTTGGCGGGGGGGGGGGGGGGGGGTGGTCAGTCATGGGGCCTGAACTCTGGGCCTAGGTGCTGTCCCTCAGCTCTTCAGCTTAAGGTTAGGACTCTACCATGTGAGCCACAGTACCACTTCTGGCTTTTTCTGCTTATGTGGTGTTGAAGAATCGAACCCAGGGCCTCATGCATGCAAGGCAAGCACTCTACCACTGAGCTACCTTCTCAGCCACCTGAAATAATTTCTAATGTTGCATTCACTTGAACCATGCACATAATTTACATTCTTTGCCACAAATATCCAGCAATTCTACCAAAACTTCGAGGTTCTCATAAAGGTATATATTGAGCCCACTCAACTACTACATTTTATGTATCAGAGTTCTACTATGTGATAGCTTTGTGTCAAGCTGGATCCTTGTTGATGGCTAGCTCACTAAAGTAAGTTTCTTGTATTTCATATCTAAAGTAACTAGAGGAAACATTAATAATATGAAAAGAGAGAAATTCTATTTATTTATTTATTCACTCATTTAGGCAATACTGTTATTTTTCTTTTCTTTTTTTTTTTTGCCAGTCCTGGGGCTTTAATTCAGGGCCTGGGTGCTGTCCCTGAGCCTCTTTGCACACAAGGCTAGAGCTCTACCACTTGAGCCATAATGCCACTTCCCCCTTATTCTGAATAGTTTTTTTGGAGATAAGAATCTCATGGACTTTTTTGCCCAGACTGGGTTTGAACTGTGACTCTCAGAACTCAGCATCCTGAGTAGCTAGGATTACAGGCATGAGTCATCAGGGCACGGCTTCCTTTTCTTTTTCTTTTCTTTTTTTCTTTCTTTTTTAAACTCAGAGCCTCATACTTGCTAGGCAGGCATTCTACCACTGAGCCATGCCTCCAGCAAGAGGAATATTTTTAAACCAAGACACAAATCAGCTCAACAAAAACCATGGCATAGCTAGGTGCCAGTGGCTGATTCCTGTAATCCTGGCTACTCAAAAGGCTGAGATCCAGAGGATCAAGGCTCAAAACCAATGTAGAATGGCTGGGAATGTGGCTTAGTGGTAGAGTGCTTGATTAGCATGCATGAAGGCCTGGGTTTGATTCCTCAGTACCAAATAAAAAGAAAAAGCCAGAAGTGGCGCTGTGATTCAAGTGGTAGAGTGCTAGCCTTGAGCAAAACAAGCTGAGGGACAGTGCCCAGGCCTTGAGTCCAAGAACAAGGACTGGCAAAAAACAAAACAAAACAAAACAAAAAACCTCAGTGTAGACAAACAAGACTCCATTCTCCAAAAATAGCAAAAAGCAGGAGGTGCACCTCAAATGGTAAAGTGTCAGCTGAAACGAGTAAGCTGAACAAGTGCAAGGCTCCAAGTTCAAACCCCAGTACTGAAGAAAACAAAAAATTAAGCTAGGACACTAATGTGAGGATTGTCACTTTCATAAGTAGTGATTTTCCTGCTTTTTCAACAGTTAGATTCAAATTTAACCAGATGTATTTTTAAAAATCTTATTAGCCCCCTGCCTACAACCAAACAGAAAGCATGAAATCTTTTCATTTTATACATGATTTCTGCTCTGCCTTAGTGGCTAAGTGGAACAAACTTAATTTTAAGCTTGAAAAAAAACCCCAATTTCATTATATTGTCAATAATTTAAATTTATTATCTCTAAAAGAATCAAGTACAATAAGGATTAAGACAAGACTATGAATTTTTAGCTATTTTTTTTTTGGGGGGGGGGGGTCTGGTCATGGGGCCTGAACTCTGGGCCTGGGTGCTGTCCCTCAGCTCTTCAGCTCAAGGCTGGCACCCTACCACTTGAGCCACAGTGCCACTTCTGGCATTTTTCTTTTTGCTTATGTAGTGCTAAGGAATCGAACCCAGGGCCTCATGCATGCAAGGCAAGCGCTCTACCACTGAACCACCTTCCCAGCCCACTATGTTTGTTATAATGACTATAGCAGTCAACTATTTGGCTTTTTCTTTTTTGTTGTTGTTTTTTTTTTTTTTACAGTAAACTATTTGGTAGCAACTGATTTTTATTAAGATCTAGTTGAATCTAAAAATTCATTTGACTCTCTAACATTTTTTTCTTCAGACTCCAAGTCTCTAGTCATTTGCCCAGTGTAGCTAAAGTTCCCAACCACTCCTTCCTAGACATGTGAAATCCCACTTGCAAAAGCAGCTGAGATGGAAGATACAACTTCATACTCAACGTGGGGGTTCCCTTCAAACTAAGACTTTTGTCATTCAAGGATACACTATATCAACTTACCTAATTAGATGTACTAGGTACTTTGCTTTCTTCTATTGTGGGGTATAACTAGCCCCACAATAGATAAAATAGCACCCCCCCCCCCCAAAGAAAGAAATTGCAAAAATTGGTTCTCAGGCTCTTTATTTGTTCATTTCTTCCTTCAATCTCCTTCTGAAAATCCTCTAGACAGTCAGTGATTATGTATGTGCTGGAGAGGTGCTTATGTGTGTGGAGAATTCAGATACAATTACAAGAAATAGAAACCCCATCTAAGTCAACTGAAAATCTCAACTTATTAATTTCAAGTACTTGTGATTCCAAGTACAAATTAGTAAGAGAAGCAAATTAGAACATAATTTAGCAAATAACATCACATGAACATTATTACCAAGCTTAAGAAAAAAACTGTTTGGCAACGCTCCTAATCCTCTGCCAAATGAAATTTTGTTTTTATATTCAAGTTCAGAGCCTTAGGTTATGTGTTCCTCAGATCTCTTGGAGGAATTTTGTTCCAATTAATTTGATCTCCTTTCTATAAACAGGCTATTATTTTTGCTACCTAGCAATCATTTCTTGTTCTTTGTGCAGTGGCACCCCATTTAGGCATTTACCTAATTCCCTACTTTCTGTTCATGTTATTATTGGACATTTCCCACTCTTGGCTGGGTAAGGGCACAGCAGAGAGATATCTCAGGTCTGGCCTATAAAAGCCCAGTTTCCTCCTGAGTTGGGCAGAGCCCAAGGACATTTGCTGGGAACACTAGCCCAAGTACCGCAACTGTGCCTGCTCTGCTTATTACTAAAACTTGAGTTTCCAGGGGAAAGTTAACAGAAAAGAAACCCAGTTTATTTATTCAGAAGCAAATATGAATGACAGAAATAAGAAGTTTCTTGGAAACATAGTTGATGGATATATACAGTCTATCTGTTCCTGCCAGGACTGCCCTTTGGTTATTTAGTTACGTCAGATAACACATTTCCCTTTGAGCTGAAAGTTCAGAATCAGAAGTAAGGACAGGCAAAGAACCAAGTGGGCAGGTAAATTACTCCTTGCTAATTCAGTGTGGCATTTTATGAGTTATAGATGCTAGGAAGCTCAGAGTTTCCTTGCTGGACAGAGATAGCTTGGAAATAATTATATTAATCAAAGTAAGCCAGACCCTCATTTGTCATAACTGCAATGTGCCTATAAATCTACAAGTAAACACACTGGATGGTAAAAGACAAAAAAATACACTTGGACATGATAAATCATATGGGACTCTAGACATTCACACAGTGAGACCAAAGGATGGTCTTGGGAGAGGATCACAAAGGCTCAACAGCTATGTACATATGATCATATAAAATAATGCTTATCAAAATGAATTCCCAGAAATAGATGCAAGACTTTATTTCTTTGTTGCTGTTTGTATTTTCTGTGCCTTCTGTCTTGTTTGTAAGTTTATCTGTTTGGGGGAGTGTAAGGAGGAACACCTAGAGATGGTGGGACAAAGGGTGGACAAATGCAGCAGTGATACTCACTAGACACTATGTTGCAAATGAACTATACAACCTGTGGGGTTGGGGGTGATGGTAGGGAAAAAACTGGGAGAAAGGGAGGGCAAGGATGACATTGTTCAAAAAGAAATGTACGCGTTACCTGATTTATGTAACTGTAACTCCTCTGTATATCACTTTTACAGTAACAATTTAAAAAATAAAAACATTTTTTAAAAAGAATCTCTAAGCCACCTCCACTGGGAAATTAAGAATAAGCATCCTTACATCTTGGAACTTTCTCAAAATACCCTTTTCTACCAAATACACCTGGAGAAAATAGGTGAGGAGGGCAATTAAAGTAATTGTTGAAGCTATCTATGAGTACATAACTAGCTACTTTTATGCATGCTTTAAAAATACTTGTTTATTTAAGCTTCTAAAGTACAGAGATAATAGATCTGAACAAATTAGAAGACCTAAGGATATATTTTGTTTTTGAATAGGAAAGAGAATAGCAAATTTCTAGTGAACTTCATTTTACAATGTTATCTCTATGAACAAAGCTACTTAAGTGTTAGTTTTATTTATTGTTTGTTTGTGCCAGTCCTGGAGCTTGAACTCAGGGCCTGGGTGCTGTCCCTGAGCACTTTTGCTCAAGGCTAGCACTCTACCACTTGAGCCACAGCAACTTTTCCAGCTTTTTGGTGGTTAATTGGAGATAAGTTTCATGGCCTTTCCTGCCCAGGCTAGCTTAGAACCATCATCCTCAGATTTCAGCCTCCTGAGTTGCTAGGATTACAGGTTTAAGCCACCAATACCTGGCTAAATTTTAGTTTTCAAGAAGGTATTATGGTGAGCTGCTGACACCTTTGAAATTGAAGACCTAACACTGAAATATAGTCCCAGTTTTCCATAGAGGAAAATGACTCCTCATTCAATTGCTGTGAAAGTTAGCTGAATTAAAATCCATTCATTATTTTAATTAATTAAATGCACTGATTTGACTAATTAATATTTACTTTGTAAATCTCTGAATCATAAAGCACCATATGTATACAATAAAATGAATTTTAAATTATATATCTGAGAATATTTCACCAGTGAATCTCAAGACAGTTAAAACCACTGAAGTTTTAAATGTTTTCCTTGTGAAACTATGATTTGAACAAACCCCAGCTTTGTGCAGGGATGTTAAGCAAATGCTCCATCATTTAAGCTTGTGAGTTTCAGGGGGTGGGGGGCAGTGGTTTTGTTGAGACATGGTCTCACTAACTTTTCCTGGGCTTGCATTAGACTCATGATCCTCTAACCTCAGCTTCCAGAATAGCTGAGATTATAAGGCATGTACCATCATACCCAACTACCACATATCTAACAGAACAAAATAATTTTTTTTAACTTACAATGTTTTCCTCTCAAAATAGCTACAGAAAATATTGGTACAATCAGACACAGTACTCATGCATATGTAATCCCAGCTACTTAGGAAACAAAGATTGGGAGGATTATGGCTTACGGCCAGCCACTGCAAAAAGCAAGATTTCACCTCACACAACAAGCTACTCTACCTGGAAAATATACAAAAGTAGCTTGAGAGCATGGCTCCAAGTGGTAGTGTGCCTACCTAGCAAGCAAAGGCCCTGAGTTTAAACCACGCAGTACCACCAAAAAAGAAAGTTGTGGTGATGAATAAGCAGCAAGCATCTTGTGAAAACCACATCAGATATTAAGAGATTTTTTTAATAGCAAAAAATACCCATGCATGGGGTATTGCTGCTAAAAACTTGCTAGAATACCTAAGACAGGCAGAAGACTGAAGTTCCTCACAGAAAGCCCTCAAGCACCCAAGACATTTGCAGAAAAATATGTTTCCTTTATAGACAAAGCAAAACAAAAGAGGAGAGGTTTTTGGACATTAGCAGTAAGACTGTTGACAAAAAAACAGATGAGCAAAGCTTTCATATGAAGAAACAATGAACAAAGCAAAGTATTTAGCATTACTAGTGTTAATAGTAACAGGAAGGTTATAACAGGAAATATTTGTAGTTAGGTACAAGGGTCAGGTCTGAACTAAGATGAAAGTCAGAAAATTGACAAAAAGTTAAGACTTTAGCTATCCTAGTCAAACTAGTGTACAGTTACATGAAGGACAAAATTAATCAGCTTTGACAATTACTAATGAACAACTATCAGAGGGTATTATCCCTGTCTTTTTCAAGAAAAGTACCTAAATTGAAAACCAACTCATTTGGTGATTCTAGTGCTTTATAGATTTGCATTAGGTAATATTTTAGGTAACAGCCATGATCTGAGAAATCAGGCTTAGCAATTCATCCAATAATCAAGTTATAGTAGACACTAATATTTATCTACTAGTATAAATATGAAAAGATTGTAAGCATGCTTTGATAAGTAAATGAACATAAAGCTACTAATAGAATCACTGTGGTGAATAACATTTAGTAGCTGGGCATAAGTGGCTCATGCCTATAAACCTCACCATTTTGGAGACTGAGATCTGATGATCTCAGTTCAAAGCCATGGTACGCAGGAAAATCCATGAGATTCTTATATCCAAATAACCATCAAAATGTTGTAAGTGGGGCTCAAGTGGCTCAAGTGGTATTGTACCATACTTGAATGAAAAAAACTAAGGGACAGCAGCCAGGCCCTGAGTTCAAGTCCCCATGTCCCCATGTCGGCACAAAAAAAAAAAAAAAGAATAAATTAGATCAGCTGAAAACAACATCAAATTCAATTTTAACTTATGTGATATGTGTGACCGAGTTAATATTCAAGTGAACAATTAAAGAAATGAAAGATAACTTTAGGTGCTCATTATCTGAACAAGAAATGTGCTTTCTTTTTCTTGTCAGGTGTAGGGAAAACTTGACAGGTAAAAATACACAGAAATAAGAGGACAAATCCTTACTGTAAGCAACTTCAAAAATGGAAGAATTAGTTGTAAGTGAACACTGGTGGCTCATGTTTATAATCCTAGCTACTCAGGAGGCTGAGATCTGAAGATCTTAATTCTTTTTTTTTTTTTTTTTGGTCGGTCGTGGGGCTTGAACTCTGGGCCTGGGCGCTGTCCCTCAGCTCTTCAGCTCAAGGCGAGCGCTCTACCACTTGAGCTACAGCGCCACTTCTGATCTTAATTCTTAGTCAATATGGGCTAAAACCCAGCAAAATGCTGCACTGGAAGTGTAGCACAAGTGGTGAGTGCCAGCTCAGAAAAAGCTAAACTAGGCCCTCTGAGCTCAAGCTCTGATACTGACAAATACAAAAAGAGAGGAAAAAAAAAAAAAAAGCTAGGTGCTAGTGGCTCATACTGTCATTCTATCTACTCAGAAGGCTGAGATCTGAGGATTGTGGTTCAAAGCCAGCTCAGGCAGGAAAGTCCTTGAGATTCTTATTTCCAATTGATCACCAGAAAACCAAAAGTGGAGCTGTGGCTCAAAGTGGTACAGCATTAGCCTTGAGCAAAAGAGCTGAGGGACAGCACCCAAGCTGAGTTCAAGCTCCATGATTGACAAAAAAATTAAAAAAATCTGGGTGATGGTGGCTCACACTTGTAATCCTAGCTACTCAGGAGGCTGAGATCTGAGGGTCGTGGTCCAGGAAGAAAAGTCTGTGAGACTCTCATCTCCAATTAACCACCAGAAAACTGGAAGTGGTGGAGTACTCACCTTAAGCTGAAGAGTGCCCAGACCCAGAGTTCAAGCCCTCACCTGACAAAAAAAGGAAACATTGTTTCAATTAACAATGATTTTAAGTGCTTAGTAAACATCTAAGGATTCTTCTACCTATAGGGCAAATTTTAGGAAGCTCCAGCTCAACTTGGGAATGATGAAACACCAGTAATATTCAACTACAATGCTTACTTACTGGATTACAGGACAACACACTTGGCTAGTTGGTCCAAGTTATGAGGGAAAAAACCACCATGGTCCAATCCAACACTCACTGGATCAATAGTTACTTCTGTTCCAGATCCAATATAGCTAAATCAAGAGGTGCTTCCTCTCAGTGGACATCCCTGAAAAAAAAAAAAAAAAAAAAACAGAAGAAAAAGCAAGAGTGGAATCTGTAGTGAAGGAAGAGAGAGGACTTTTTCACAAATCTATCCTAAAGGTGGAGGGGGGGGAGTGGGAGTGAGGGCAAGGGTGGCCTTGGGCCATAAGCAAAAGCAGATCTAGACAGAATGTAAACAAAGATTTCCAAATTAACGAATTAAATAATTCCTTGAATACTTTTGATCTAGTGTCAGTAGAAAAGCAACGTGTTGTCCTAGGTGAGGAAGTCGTTAGCAAACATTAAATCACAAACAGGAAGGGCGGGAGGGAAGACTGTGAGGTGGAGAAAAGAAACTGTACGCCCCGCCCTCCCCGCCCCCATCCCAAGCTGGTAGGTTAGAACTGGGATGTGATTTGACATTTACACCTTGTAGAGAGCTGTGCTTTGGGATCAGGTTGTGCTGTGCTATAGTTAGAAGGGCTGGGCACCCTCGGTCATTACTTAAGTCGGTTTTTACCACTTTCACCACTCAAATTACCCTCCTTAGCAATATATATATATATAATATATCATATATATTATGTTATAATATATGATATATAATATATCATATATGATATAATATTATATATTATATATAATTATATCATAGATGATATAATTATGATATATCATATATGATATATATTTCTATATTATATATGATGTATTATATCATATATATTATATCACGTATATTATGTATATTATATATATATATTATATGCCAGGGATTACTTCAATCTCTACGGGGCGACTCCTACCTCGGGAATGCCAACAAGCCGACCTCTAGATTAGGCAGGACGACGAGGTGACAGGATAAGCAGGACAAAGTGGGGGGAAAGGGCCCGTCGGTCCCACCCCGTCCCGGTCCTGGGGTGCAAAGGGCTCTCTCTCACCCCAGAGCTTGGGGCCGGATACGCCCCCCCCCCGATCCCCGCTAAAGCAGGTGCCCCTAGAGGTCAGGACCCCCAGCCCCGGCCCAGCCACGCAGCCAGGAATCCTCCAGGCCTCCTGGTCCCCAGTACACCCCTACCCCCGCGCCGGTGGGCGCCGCCAAAGCCCAGGATCGCTCACGGCCGGTAAGGCGATGACAGCGACCACCAAGCGGAGCTGAACCGAGAGCTAGAGTGGCCTCGCCCAACTTCCGGAGGAAGCGGAAGCCGCGCCGGAAGTGGCGGGGCGGGTCAAAGGAGACGCGGTTTCCTCCGCTTCGGCTCATGGCGGGGCTGGCTTTAGCAGCCGGCCGCATGATGCGGCCTCCCGGGGTCCAGCTTTGGCAGAGCAGATGTGGGCTTTGGGGTCTGGCAGAGAGGCCCGGCAGACTCTGGATGAGCCAGTGCCGCCCGCGGCTGGAAGGGGGGCGGCGAGCCTCCGCGCGGCCCGGTGGTACCGTGGGAAGCAGGCCCTTCGGGACCCGCCTGCCGCCGCCCCCGGCCTCCCCGGGGCAGGAGCCGGGGGGCCGCAGGGACCCGACTCGTCCCTCCAAGCCCGGGGTGAGTGTTTCCCCGGGGCGCCCTGGTCACGCAGGCCGGTTGGCGTATCCTTCCCATTTTATCTTGAGACGCGAGAACTCCTGGCCTGCCTACCTGGGTCGTGGTGGGCCAGGTAGGATCCACGAGACGGGACACGAGGTTTATTTATTTTTTTTTTTATAAAACTCATGTCAAAAAGATCAGACCCAGAATTTAACTGGGGGGTGGGGTGGGGAATCAGTCCAGCTCCCGCCACACCTACTCTTGGATGTTAAGAACTGAGACATTGGAGGGGTTTTACAAACTTGCCTTCTCTTTTGAAATAGTAAAAAGATAATTTAAAAAAAAAAAACAAAAAAAAAAAAAACCACCTCTGGGAAACATTCCCGAATGACGGAAAGACAGAAGGAATGAAAGGCATATCTGACAAAAGGAGGTCCTGAAGGTTAAGGTATCTTAGGTTGAGCCTGACTGGGCTCGCCTCCCCCTAAAAAAAAAAACCTTTGTCCTAAGCACTAGGGCTTGCCAGATACGACCTTGCTAGATATTGTCTCTGCTCAAAAAATTAGAACAGCTACAGTCAGGGATAGCAATTTCGAGTCTTGAATTCCCATATCCTGCATCAAGCGAGGAAATGTTTCTGTTTCTTCTGACTCCGATCCTCTTCTATTAAAATCCTTGCCACACCTTTCACCTTCTGAGACTCTCCTTTCTGTGAGACACCCCGAAATGCTTTTCATGAATGAGTAGCTCTCAAAGGGCTTGTGATTTTTGCTTGGAAATTTGGACTTGAAGGAACTTCTCATCTGTCCCTGGAATCAGGTCTGTGTTTCCGGGTTTGCTTTCTCTCCCAATCCTCAAGGAAGCTTTAGAACCTACTGCTTCTCCACATGGATTAGATACGGAGGTTTGGATGTTAACTTGTGCCAGGTTTTCTATTCTTGTTTTCTTACGGGTCCCTGTCTTAACTTTACTGTGATTAAAGAGTCATTACTTAGAATTTCTGTCATTTGAATCTCCCATGTATACCTTGAAATTGAAACAAAAAGTAGATAGTAGTTGCAGGTTGTTTGCCTTTTTCTTGTCTGTTGTCTGGTTCTAGTACTCACACAAAAGAATTTAGAGCCATTACTGTAGTGGTAGGTAATTGAGTTCTCTGAGCGAGGATAAGGTTAATGAGCTAGGTCTTACCTGCCTTAGGACTTGAAAATGCAGTGAAGTAAAACTCATGCAATTTGTAAGAAGCCTCACTTTTAGGTCGGGCAATGGCATAAGGCTGCCATCCCAGCTACTTGGGAGACTTTTCAGTCTCCCAAGCTACCTAGAGCAAAAAATTATGGAGACCCTAATCTTAGCAAACCATCCATGATAAGCATCTGTCATCCCAGCTAAGTGGAGATGCCATAGGTGTGAGGATAGCTTAGATGAGACCAAGGAAAAACCCACCAGGCTACCTGAAAAATAGAATTGAAAAAGATCTGGGGGCAGGGTTTAAGTGTTTGACAGGGTTCAAGTGTTTGAGACTCCATCTTGCAAGTTAGAAGTCCTACCTTCAACTCCCCACCCCCCAGTAAAACAATCACGGGAGGGGGGAGCCCACTTCTAGACATACTTCCTATTACATTGGCTATTCTGGGCATTGACCTTTTTTTTTTTTTTTTTTGGTCCCCGGTCGTGGGGCCTAAACTCTGGGCCTGGGCGCTGTCCCTCAGCTCTTCAGCTCAAGGCTAGCACTCTACCACTTGAGCCACAGCGCCACTTCCGGCTTTTTTCTTATGTGGTGCTGAGGAATCGAACCCAGGGCCTCGAGCATGCAAGGCAAGTGCTCTACCACTGAGCCACCTTCTCAGCCCCGCATTGACCACATTTTATGGCTTATTTACATACCTGATATCAACACATGCTGGTAATTAATTGTTTTTTGTTTTTTATTTTGGTCTGTCCTGGGGCTTGAAATCTGTGCCTAGGCGCTGTCTCTGAGCTCTTCAGCTCAAGGCAAGCACTCTACCACATGAGCCACAGCGCCACTTCTGGTTTTCTGGTGTTTCATTGGAGATAAGAGTCTCACAGACTTTCCTGCCCAGACTGGTTTTGAACTGTGATTCTCAGATCTCAGCCTCCTGAGTAGCTAGGATTACATGTGTGAACCACTGGTGCCCAGCAATTATTTTTTAAATCGTCATTGTAGTTAGGTTCACACATAGTGACAGTCATAATACATGCCTTTCTTTTGGTTGATTTTCTGAAGGAACAGAAACTAATGTGGGGAAATTTCCTCTGGAAATGAGTGTCTTTGTAACTGTCTCTAGAGCTCAGATAGAACCGTATCCGCTGTCAGCATTTTCTTATTTAGCAATAAACAGAAGCATTTTTCATATTCAACAAGATCATGGCCTGTGCACCTGTATATTAAAAATTCCTGCAATATTTAGCATGGTTAAATGTTTATTTCTAATATTTTATTTTTGAAATCTCTGCCCCAGTAGCCTGTTTCTTGGAAGTCTTTAGCATTCACATTTGCTGTTGGAGGAGCATTATTGGCTGGAATGAAGTACTTCAAAAAAGAAAAGACAGAGAGTAAGTGCATATCTGGTAGATCTGAATAAAATATTTCCTGACTGTAGACTGACATCTTTTTTTCTTTGTATAAGATTTATTAAAACTTTGCAGAGATGATATAGAAGATTGTCAGTATACTTTTTACCCAGTTTCCTCTTACATTAACATTTTATATAGTCATTTCATATATATCAAATTTTAACCACATTGGAGACTGAAATTAATATTGTTTGAAGGAAAATGGGTGAAACAGAGTTATCATGTGAAGCAAAGTAAGCCAGGACTGGGAAAGATAAATAGCTAGTGATTTCCCTAATCAGTAGAATTGAGGGGAATTGTTAAGATGTGGAAAAGGACAAGGGGGAAGGAGGGAAGATAAGACTGGTAATGGAAAGGGTGAATATACAAATATGAAAACCTCACCTATTATTTTGCGCAGTCAATATATGCTAATAAAATGGATAAAAGGATATCTGTGTAGCAGTAGGTACATAGTTAGAAACTGAGATACAAATATGAAAATTTCACCTATTTGCACAGTCAGTATATGCTAATAAAATGGATAAAAGGATATCTGTGTAGCTATAGGTACATAGTTAGAAACTGAGTAGGGAGAAGCACAAAACTATACTAAAAACTAAAGTTTTTTAATTTCACATGTTCTATTGACACTTTACTTTTCCTAGATCTAGATATATACTTAAATTTTGTTAAGCTGTAAGTCTTTAAAGACATGAACAGATTTGAATGTGGAAGTATGAGGTCCAGAGAATGCAAAGATGAATAAAATTTAGCCCAGTCCTAGAAGTGCAGGTGACAGGGAACAGACAAATACAGAGTTTTTCTACATAAGTTTCTGCCAGTCCAGAGAGAAAATCTCAGGTTAGTACTAAGGGACGGCCTCTCCCCTTAGGATTTGTGAAGACTGCCTAAGTCGCCAAATGTGGATCTTAGTATAGGTAGATCCTATAAACCTGAATGATGGAGGGCCAGCATACTGATCTGATGTAGCATCCTGAAACGTAGTGACTGTTCAAAAGTTTTTAAGATTTGGTTTAGAAGTTTCCAGTAAATCTTAAACATACTATTTAAATCTGATACTGTTCTTAGATAAAGGAAAATATATACATCTGGGCATGAGAATTCATAGGACAATATGAGTTGCATATAAATAAAGTATAGGTAGATGACTCTTGAATAACAGTTGTATAACAATTATAATTTTATTGGTATAATGTTACACTTACTAAATTCTTTTAGTTGCACAAGGAAGTAGATTTAAATACACAAGCTTCTTCTAACAATTCTAAAATAAGCAACTTCCTTGAATTTTACCTATAATAATATTTGTTTTAGATAGAAAATTTACAGGGCTGGGAAGGTGGCTCAGTGGTAGAGCGCTTGCCTTGTATGCATGAGGCCCTGGGTTCCATTCCTCAGCACCACATAAGCAGAAGGAAAAAAAAAAGCCTGAAGTAGCGCTGTGGTTCAAGTGGTA